GAGAAAGGAAAAATAGTGAATTAAAATGAAAATGAAAATTGAAAGTCAGCATTTCAGAAAGTTATATCAGGCCCAGTATCCCGGCTGTTTAGTTTTATTATTAGAAAAAGACGGTTTGCACTAAAAATGTAAATGATTTTTTATTACCTTTTAGAAGTATACAATCATGTATAAATCTTCCGTTATTCTCTTGATAATGATGATGATGACTGCCCATCAATGTCAGGGTGGATTGTTGGCCTATGGAATCTGCCAGACGGGCTGCAATGCAGTATGGGTTGCTTGTGTGACTGCTGCAGGTGGAACGGCTGGTGTTTCTACAGGAGGAGCTGCTGTGCCTGCTGCCATCTTGGCATGTAACGCTGCTCAAGGTGTTTGTATGGCGGGATGCGTTGCTGCTGGACTTACTCCCACTCCTTGACTGGCCAGTCTATACCGGATAAAGCTTTGTTCTTGTTGTCAATACTTTGTTAAGTTTAGTTTGTAGCACAGTTTGTAATTAATGTTTGTAGCACATTGAAAAAATATTTGAGTTAATTTGAGCATTGTCTTATTGGCATGAAATTGTATTAATTAAAATGCACGAGTCAATTGAACCCCCCCCCCCCCCCCGACCCCCGGGGCTAGCGGGGCACTGAACGGGGACGTGACGCTTTTTAACGTGCTTTTATTAAACGCCGCATTTTTCATATCTGTTTATTTTCCTGCATGAAAATTAAGAAACTTAATTATTACACGTTTTTCTACGACCAGTTAGCCTCATGTAGTACGCAAATGAGTACACAGGATTCCACGTTTATCACAGAAAACTGATTTGAGTTGCATTGAAAGGGGCAACGGTAGCGGGGATAGTTAACAGTGAATGTGCCCCCAACTACCACCACCGTTCAAACGTTAAACTCCCCGGTATTTCTCGGATATCGGGGGCGGGGGTTTCAATTGACTAGTGCATAATCAACATTGTAGCTGCTTTAACTGATTAGAATCAGAAGCTATAACACTCATCCTTGCATTCTTTGTTCGAAACAAAATTAAAACTAAACCAGAATCATTTAGTGACTGATAGTGACTGCGAAGTTTACGACCTCCATGTCGTTTAATTTGGGTTAATTCAAATGATACATTCGCTTTTATTTGCACTTTTTTATTTTTTTGAGGATATGAACAAAAAATAAATAATCAGAGATGTATGCGGCGTTCAGAGAAGTTTTACAGCTATATAAAAAAAACGTTGTCGGGCCAACGGCGATTGTCGCAAGGGAAATTGCACCACTGAAAGCTAGGGACTATCTAGGGACTATCTAGGGACTATGGTTACACTATTTTGATAAACAAAATTTCACTTGCTGGATTTACCTACGGAAATGGAGACTAAATGGAGCCAATGTTTACCACAACTATCGTACACTACTATAAATCAGTTATTGCCTTTCAACTAACCAAACTCATGGCTACTTTCAGTTGTGCAATTGACGTTCGTCAATTTGACATTTGCCATTTAATCCGACAACCTTTTTTCGAAATAGCTATAAGAAGTTTTATTAAGAAGTACATTAAATGATGATTTTTTAAGACATGCAGGAATATTAGAAACCACTGTAAGTTATAGTAGTATAGTGGTATAGATATGTAAGTTGCACACTTTTAGTGTTTGCATGCACTCTAGTTATTAATAAATATAACAAATTTCATGTCAGACTTGCCCTTTTATTTTCTTTGAATAATATTCACATTTCAGCTAACATACATGTACTGTATGTTGGGGGATGGAAATCCAGTCCTGCATCCAACCAAACTGGTTGATTTTGTAGAGTTGCAAATGATGTGAACTAATATTCTTGGCTGTTTTTCTCTGGTCTTTTCTCAAAGTAAGAAGAGGGGAAAACATAGGCAGCAGGACCTGGCTGTTCTGGGTCCATATTGCCAGGGGGCTCAGTAGAATAGATTCTTTCTCCATTTGGTTTTAATGCAAAGTTATATGAAGTTTCATTGTCCAGTGCAAAAGCAATCTTTTCATCAAGATTTTCAGCAGTAATAAAATCTTTGCTTTCTTCCTGTAGAAAATAAATAAATAAATGAGCAATATCAAAAATGGAAAAAGTATAAAT